CTGACAGATTCTCTTCGCTTCTTTTAAAACGGCTCCTTCGTGATAAGGAAAAGCTCTACAGGACTGGAAGCTGCATTGCTGTCAAACATCAATCAAAATGGAAACATTGCGCCCAACTCGGATGTATATTGAAACTTTTATGGAAAACAAGAACTTCCGTGATAGATGGTCTGCCTTGAGGCAGCTCTGTGGATCACGTAATAGGTCTTTCCCGGATATTGATGAGTTAAACCGTCAATTCTCAAGTGCCTCTGTGCAGAACTGAACACTACCTTCATTTGCATCTACTGGGGAGAACTAATCTATCACACCGGTGGAAGTTTTAAAGGTGTTGAAGTTCCTTAAACCTATCAAGGCACATGGCCCTGATTCGTTGTAGCCCTTCCTGCTGAAGATGTGTGGTTGGTACGCCTTCTGGTTGGCTTGGAATCAGGGTTTCTAGCCAACTTCCCTAGATGAACTGCCCGTGGTTCAACAACCCGGTTATAGCCTCGGATGTTGCCTTTTCGTTCTCTCACTTTGATGGAAAACACCTTCACCATGAGAGGGCGGTGAGTAGGGCTTCCCCAGAAAAGGCTATTTGAGACGCTTCGTCCTGTGGAAGCATTCACTGAGGTGCAAGGGAGATGGAGGGTGACCAGCCAACCATACCGAGGCTTTCGGAGACTGGTAATCTGTGCATAATACTAATCTAAACCGGTCGTCAATATTATGGTACACCATTGGTTTTGTGTTGTCCATTTATTCGCATATTGTTATCCCGTATAACCCTTTTGCCTCGTTGTGGTTGCTGAATATTCACCTCTCGTGGTTCACAAAGCGATTCCGTGATTTGAGTGAGCATAAAGTTGTCCCAAGGCTAGAAATCGTGAGTGAGGGATAAATTGCCATGGCCAACATTGTAATACCGTCAGAGGACAAAAGGGTACCTGTGTTAGGACGTCTTCGGTGGCGAATAAAACCTAATTGGTATGACGATTCCCTTTAATGTTCTCAGGATAATCACTTTTATGTGTTGGCAGATTATTTCACTTAATCTTTAATCCAATGTTTTTTCCTTAATTAGGTTGAGTGCCTTCGAATTTTTCTCCAGAAGACAACTGGTGGTTTTGATGAACTTCGGAGAACGCTTTCTCAACTGCCTTTACGTGTACCCGGATCATTGATTGGAGTGCGCCTACATTCGGATTCCAAAAGTCGTGCGGGTCCAAGACTGCAGGGTAAATGGCGAACTATCCTTAGTGAATACCCCTCATTTATGTCCCTGTTTGTTGTTACCCAGCTACAAAAACGTTTATCTAAAATACGCTTATACACTCTGCTTAGCTCGGCCTATCTAAGGGTTTTGGGAGTCAAAAGTGCGGTATGTGCGTTTACTTCG